TTAATAATTTCTAAATTTTTTTTTATTTCGAACTTGTTTCGATTAGCCAATCAGATTTTGTATCGTCATCAGATGATTTACAAAATTAGCCAATAAGAATAAAAGCCCGCTATGTTGGCTGAGCCAGCCAATGTAATATGATTGGCTGGCTAATGCGGCTAAAGATCATATCATATTAGGATGCGATATCAACTAAGTAATCAAAACTATATTAGTTAACTATGATATGTTTTATATTCTAATATTATATAATTTAATATATAATAAAATTTTGGTAAATTCTGAAAAGAAAAATAAAATATAAGCAAGAATAAGCTAAAGTTTACTGAAAATTTTCAAAAGTATATTATTTATTAGCTATTAGCTAGCTAATTAGCTAATATTTTAGTTGGCTGGCTTAGCCAGCTAACTAAAACCTTATAGCTTAAATCACTATATATAACTACTCTTTAGAGAGATACATATCTAAAGCAGAGACAACTTATATTTAATAATTTTTTTGATTAACTTTAAGATTAGGAATATTTAATATTAAAGTTAAGTTAGATATTTGGCAATTATATATATGCAAAATTGTCTTCTATTAAGGGTAGAGGGTATGTTGATCAATTTTCATATGATCTTTGTTGTACAAAAAATGTTACACATAATAACAAAAAAAACATCACTAATAAAACTTTCCATAGACGTAATCAATTTTCGTCAAAATTTTGTGGCTTGTAGTCTAAAACTTTCTATTTATAGTAGTAAAATTATTAATTATATAATATCATTAAATTATTTAAAAATAGTTAAATAAATACTGCGGGGGCTAGTTTAGTTTTGCGGAGGTTACAATTAAGGTTCAAAATATTCTATAGTGTTCTAGAATTTCTAGAACCTGATCTTCACTATATGATAATTATACTTCGCACAATTTTTCTAATATATTTTTAATAAAATACTTTATTTTTTTTGTATTCGAAAATATTGCACGCATAAGAAATATTCAATTTGACTTTTTTAGAATTTGCATTATTGAAATACGCGTATATATCAATATTACTGATACAACTTGTTCTTGTATAGTGAACTATTATTATTAAAATTCAGCTCAGTATATACCATATAGGCGCGTAATAACGCATATGGCCGTTATTTCAAAAATTCCATTTTTTTGAAAATTGCATATTTGACTCAAAATAACGTCTATGCGTGTCTTGAAATAACATGCATCCAGAATAAATTCATATGGAAGTTTTTAATAGTTGTAACTGTTTCCTTCAAAATTAATCAAATTATCATGCATGCACGTTTCAAAATAACATACAGAGTCTTGAAATAATACACATGGCACATTATTGTGCGCCTATGTAGTATATAGTATTCTCTTAAGCTATAGTGAATATTTTTATTCTAAGCCTGATGACTTCATTATAATGAGAGCAAGTTGTATATGATCAATGTGTAATATTAGCTAGCAGTTTTCTACTTGCATAAAGCAGGTCAGTCATAATTCTAAAAAAAAATTGTAATTACTAGAAAATGGCAAGATTCTACTGAAGAATACGAATCTAAATTGTTTTATAAGGTGTAAAGGGAATCTTGATACTTCTTTTTATCTTGGCATTCCCGTGAATTTTGTCATAATTTCTAAAACAAGCAGTAAATTAAATACCAAACTGGTTATCTAACCAGGTTCCTATGCCAATTAGGCACTCAAAACAATTATATAAAAGCACGAACATATCACTGTTTAGGCTATCTTTTTGATCTGTTAACCTTTCATCAATTTGAATTATAAGAAATTATGTCTAGTTGGTACCAAAAATTAGTTCAGCAAAAACCTTGGGCCCAAATTGCTTTTCAGCGTAATAATAAATCATGGATTGTAAGAGAAGTAGATATAGCTTTGGAAGTACTTAACCTTCATTCAATTTTAACTCCTATTAATTTAAAAACTATTGAAACAAAATTTGATCCTCATGCGGGATATTATCCATATCAGCAAAATAAAAATAGTAATATATGTTGGGTTCCTTTATTACTCGGCTATACTGTATATACACTTTTTCAAAATAAATTTTTTCAATTTAAAATCGTTAAAGATAAAAATAATCAAATATGTTTCGAATGGTATGATTTTGATAATGATTCAAAATTTCAAGACTTACAAGAAAATGGATCAGATTATACAGCTTACAGAAGTTTAAAGCATAAATATAATTCTGAAAAAAAGTCATTTCCGTGAATTATGGGATTTCTTAATAATGACAATATTTTTTTCTTACAAAATATAGTAACTCGATGTTATCCTCATATATTCGATCAATATAACCAAACTATAAAAGCATTTCAAAAAGAAACTAGATTAGAAAATAGTCTTTATAAAGTTTTAATAATCCTTGTATATGAGGTTCATAACCAGCCCGCGTCTGTAACTCAACTCTG